CAGCGGAAGGCTGAGGAAAGGAAGAGAGAACGGAAGAGAGCGAAGCGGCTTAAAGTCGAAGAAAAACAGCGGAAGGCTGAGGAAAAGAAGAGAGAACGGAAGAGAGCGAAGCGGCTTAAAGTCGAAGAAAAACAGCGGAAGGCTGAGGAAAAGAAGAGAGAACGGAAGAGAGCGAGGCGACTTAAAGTCGAAGAAGAACAACGGAAGACTGAAGAAAGGAAGAGAGCGAAGCGGCTTAGAGTCGAAGACCAGCAACGAAAGGCTGAGCAAAAGAGAGCAGCGAAGCTTCTCAGAGTCGAAGAACAGCAGCGGAAGGCTGAGGAGAGGAAGAGAGCGAGACGATCGGGATGCGAAGAGCCTGGACTTCTATCACATGACCATTGACGGCGTCGAAGACAAAGAGAAATACGACCAGGTGCAGTACTGTGCAGTATGATATAGTTGCAGAACATCTTATATTATTGCGTTCTCTTCTTCCAGTGTTAGGAGCTGCTGTTTCACCGCTTTTTCGCGCCGAGTCTGTCACCTACGGATGCGGTTCTATCGAGTCGAAGCAGGGAGCTCGCCACTCTCATCGACAACGTGGTTGCTAAGCCCGATGTGTATTTCGTAGCGGGTGTTTGCTCAATAATGGGCGAAGCGAAGCGAAGAAAGGGGGAACTGAGAGGCTGGGAGTTGCGGAACTTCGCAGTGCCTGTCAGGAGCGAAGTCACTCTACAAAATTGAATAGTATGGCTGTCAAATGAGAAATTGAAAGCGTGGAACAAATGAAACAGTAGCTGATTTGAATGTGAACCGGAGAGCCTTTTCTACTATGTACAAGCAAACTGTCAAACTCACCCCTCCGCTGCATGGTGCTCCGTGTGATATGTCAAGACGTTCTTATGGCAGCACCCACAGAACCAAGACCAAGGCCAAGCACATCGGGGCAGAGCAGGCTCCTGCCAATCTGGCTCCGCAAAGTCGAACAGATCCGACACCGACGTCGCCGTCTGCATGTCAGCCGAGATGCTGATCTCCTCCTCGAAAGTTGGCAGAGGACGACTTGGACGCTCGAGCTGCTCGTGGATCCAGCACTCACTTCTGGACTCCTTCCTCATCATTTCCATCTCCTCATCGGACATGTTATGCTTGCAGAGGTCGCAGTCCCAAGGGATTGGACAGCGAGGGGAGTAGCCTTTGTTCTTGGTGCTCGAGTTGTTGATGTTGGTCTGGGCAGCAAGGTTGGGGTCTGGAGTGGTGTCCGTGGGCTTCGGCGCCTTGGTGCTAGGCGTCTTGGATCTGGACGAATTTGATCTCCGCGACGTGCTTGACGTAGCCAAGGTCGTTGAAGCCGAATTGCCAGCTGCCTTTGAAGCCCGTTCAGCCTCTCTCTTCTCAGCCTTGTGCTTGTCTGCGATCCACTTGTCCGGCTCCTTCTCAGCATTGCTCTTGTGGGCACTGTTCGGATGTCAGGAATTTACGGTGCCAGCTTGGGAAGCCTTTCTTTGCTTAGGCGTATATTGATGTCCACCAAGGCCGTATCCTTTCTTTGCTTTGGAGGGAGGCATGATGGCTTTGCTCTAGTCTTAGTCTGTTTTGGACTCGGAGGGCTTCGAGAAAGTCGTTGTCGTTGTGGTACAGAGAAAGACCGGCTCTCTTCTGCTCTTCGGTGTGATGGGTGTGTGTGAAGGAGAAATGGAGGACTCAGAGAGCAGAGTGCCCGATATATATACATCGACAATCCAGGAGCCTTGAAGCCATTGTCGACAGGCTGTATAACATTGAAGACATGGACAATGTCCTTGTCAAATACAATTGGATTGTCGTCTATCGTTTCAAAGAGTCTATAGTGTTGAGTGCGTGGACTGAATCTTTGTCCAGTACAATGTAATTGTTGTCTGAGTCGTTTGTTTTAAAAGAACAACCAGTCGAGCTTCGTGGCATTCAGTTCCTGTGATTCGGTGTTTGTCGTAAGAGAAAATTCCATCCAAGTGGCAGACGGCACCGGTATGAGGAAATGAGTGAGGCAGGCAAGACACGGGTTTGAACAAGGCCGACATGGCCACGCAATCTAGTCATCCTTGGTACCGCCGTAACGTGTATAGATGCAGATCTCGCCTGTCCACGATTGTTAGAGTGCTTCATCAGGAATGGAGTTTAAAAAAGAAAAGCCAATAGCTGCGACTTACTTGGATTGCATGTTGCAAAAATTTCAAAATACCTACTCACCTTCCTGGACTGCATTGCTTGTCGTACCTGTTCACCTCAACATGTCGCTCGATTAACGTGCTGCCCTCAAGTGTAGTTGGGGATCAGATGCTCGCAACCCTTGGTGAAGACCCAATAGGGCACTCTCGAGGTTTGCTTCCTCCACACACCGTTGGCGTGAACCCATCTTGTCCGGATCTCACCAGGTTGCGGTGGAATTGCAGTGGGTGATGCGAGCACTGGGGACTGTGGGAAGTAGCCCTCCGATGAGGCGTCCGTCGAGGCATCATTACCGTCCGTCAAGATCCTGAGCTTCCCATGAGTCTGCTCGCCCGTCTTCATGATTGCACGGCCTCGAGCGATTCAGAAGATCGCGAAGAGCCTTGCGTGGCATTGGCGGCGGGCTGCTTGCTTGGCTGCGGCGTAATTAGTGAGGGCTTGGTGCGGATTGGAAGAGCCTTAGCCGATGGTCTCTTGAAGATGACAATAGGCTTGTCCTTCGTCGACGTACCACTTGAGCTGGACTGAGGCTCCTTTTTCTTCGAGCTCTCGCCCTTCGTCATCTGCAGAGCAGGGAGAGAGGACTCGACCTCCTCGTCACTCAGGCTATTGTCATCCTTAGCATCTTCATCCACATCGGCCTGTTTACCAATGAAGTTCTCGCGCCTCTCGGTGAGCCTGTCTACAACGTACTGGGACTCAGCGCGAGTTTGTCCCGTACTCTGGCTATTTGGTGAGTAGGACACGATTGGAGCGCCGCCCTTCCAGTAGTTTTTTCTGATGCTGCGCGGAATGCCGGTGGTGGACCATCTTTTCGAAGGCATCGTGGTTGGTTGTGCGTGAGAGTGTCTGTCGGTGCAGTGGTGTTGGCAGTAGAGTAGAGAAAGACCAGCTTCCTCTCCCTCTTCGTTCTCGGTGGTATGTGTCTGATGGAGGAAACGGAGTCCACGGTGTCAAGTAGCCAAAATATATACTGTTCGTCCAAGTCGCTCGAAGCCATTGCTGAAAGACTCGAGAACTTCCATGTCTTTGTCCGGATCAATTCAATTGTCGTATAAGAAAGAAAACCGGTCAAACCCTTACGACTTGAGCTCTTTGAGGTCTTCCTCCAGAACAATCCGATTGTCGTAGAAGAAAGAGAACCAGTCGAGCCATTGGGTATTGAGCTCTTTGTCATAGGTACTGTCTAGCAGACAACGTCTGTGTTCGAATGGCAGGGCGAGCATCATGAGCAGAGGTCCAGGCAAAGGCGAGGTTCGTCCAAGACCAGAAGAGACATCGTTGCCGAGAGCGTTGAGTATATTTCTTTGAGGCATGTGTTTACGAGTGTAACGAATCTTCGAAAAGCGTATACTGTCATTCTGCTCAGTGTATATCCAGCAACGAAGTCAAGACGCCGGGGAAAGGAGGCTGCGAGGTGGAAGAAAGGAAGGGATGGATGGCTACAATCGATGGACGAAATCGTCAGTAGATAGCAGGAAGAACTTGATATACGCACCCACCAACAACCATCTCAGCCAACGTCAAGACACGTCTCTCGTCAGGCTGCAATGCCACGGCCACATCGGAGAAACGTCTTATTTACTGATCGTGGAGACGGATCGTGCTTCCCTGATGTCTTTAGGGTCTTCGAGTCATCATCTCCAGATCCAAGACGAAGCCACGCCTGTACATGGAATGTCTGATTGGTGAAACGAGCTTCACAATGAGTATACCTCTTGTTTTGATAGTGAAGATTGATATGTCCCTGAAGTCTTGTTCGAAAAGCGGCCGAACGCCTCCGTGCAGTAATATGAGCAAGTGTCGCAGCCATGATCCATCCTGAAGCAAGTCGCCATAAGCCACACAGTTTAGCCAGTATCTCACTTACTGGACGGACCTGGACCTCCTCTGTTGCGGAGGAGGAAAGGTCTTGCGGACATTCGATCGTTTCTGAAGGCAGCTATCAGTACCTCTGGCTCTGCTTGACTGTCCATGCCGGTCGTCGCTGTCGAGGTCCAGCCGCTCGTCCACGACTAGATGTCCAACTTAGATGTAGACAATCAACCGAAAAGTCAGCCCGAAAGAAATACGAAAAACAAAAGTTCTGAAGTTCTCTCATTCCATCTCCTATTTACCCTCCCCCTCCTTTTCCCCCTCCTCTCTCATATCTCGCCACAAGAGGCAAAAAGAGTGTGTACATCTCCTACAAGTACATACACGCCCAAAAACCAAATCTTCCCAACTTTGGTCCAAGGGCAGATGGTAGCTCAAAATAGCCCCGATCAAAATCCCTCCCACACATCTCTCCCTCACTGTCCTCTCCACTTCTCTCCACACCGACCTCCAGAAAAATACAAAATACTCCTTCAAAAAAACATTACGAATGCTCCCCACTCCCAGTCCCATGTCTATAGTTTTGTGTGTTGGTGACAAGAAGACGCCCGCATTAACCCACATGCCTCGCCGCGCGCAATACCCAGCCCTTGGGTCATTGCGCTTTCCCTTCGGTGGAAGTGAAAGGTTGGCGCCGGCCAGAAAAAGCTGTTTCTTTGGTACAATAGCTGTCGAAATGAGGGGATCAAGAATGGCAGTTTTCAAAGAGTGATTGTTTGTTTGTGTGGGATCGGTGGTTCTATGTCGTTCGTTTGGTGAGGGGCCGTATGTGCAAGGGGTCGAAAGCAAAATGAGTTCCAGCCGTCAAGAATTGGGAGTACGCCGTCGTCCGTATGGTGTGATGAAAATGCAAGCCAGTGTCGTTAGAGGGGGTTTGTTGAGCGCTCTGTTTGTCGTGTCGTTAAAGAGGTGTGATGCATCGCACTTTCTATGCTCGAGAGATCATGTCCATTTTGGGGCGGAGCTGGGCGTTGATGTCTTCCTTGGTCGTCACCATCTCCTTGGGGATTCGTGAGACGCGGTATGCTCCGTCGCGGACGGCGTTTATTTGCACTGCTGAGATGCCTGAGCGGTTGCTGCGGATGCTGCCGGCGTCGCTTGGGGAGAGCATGGGATCTCTGATCTTGGACGGTGGAGCGAAGTCGAGGGCAGTGAACGTGCCTGACTTGCGTAGATCGTGAGGCGATGGTAGCACGGCGAGGTTGTCGAATGACGACGCAAGCGGTGTGAAAGCACGGACACTTGGGCTGTAGGGGCGTTGCATACCCAGCGGCGAGTCAGGTCTTCGGCCGTTCTGCAGCTCTCGAATAGATGTCGGTGGAGCGAAGTCAATCGGGTTGAAGACCATCGCATCCTCCTTGAGCATGTGCGGTGTTGGCAGACTCTGAAGCGGCATTGGTGGAGGCAGCTTCTTCTTCGGCAGCGATCTGCCTCTGGGTCGACCCGCTGACAATGTCGAGAACTTCCTTTGGTGTGGGAGGGTGGAGTTACCACTCACACGAGGCTTACCACGAGGAGGCGGCGTCATCGCTCTTCGGCCAGGACCTTGAGCGAACGGTTTCGAACCTGGTGCGAAGAAGCCGCCAGTGTCTGGATCGTAGACGACACCATCCAAGAAGTTGTAGTCATCGTCGTTGTCGTAGTAATGACCAGCAGACGGGTTGGGTTTGCTGTCATCGAAGTACTCCTTGTAGAATGACCTGATTCTGTTGGCGCGGACTTCAGGGTTGTCCTCCGTGATCTCGGGTGGCAGCGGACGCATGCCCATGACAGACAGCCTGTTACCATTAGGACCCACCACAGAAAGTCTACTAGCTTGATTCTTTCCAGGCGGTGGTGCTTGAAGTTTGGGTGCTGCTGGCGGCTGTGGAGTCTCTTCGTAGTAGATCATGGCAGGATCGATATCATATGGCTCAGGCTCGTTGATGATAGGGCCAGCTGGAGCAGCAGGTACCTCATCACCGTAGTTACTTGACTCGGGTCTTTGGTCGGTATGGATAGTAGACATCGAGTCTTTTCGCGGAGGTCGTGGTGCACTGGCCGCACTGGTTGAAGATGATCTCGGCGGCATTTGCTGTGCAACCGGCTCTGGTCCTGTTGGAGGAGCAGGGAATGCTTCGCTAATGTCTGGCAAGTCCTTATCCACGCTGGCCTTTCGGCTGGGCGCACCGTTCCGATTCATGGAACTGTGCATCTGGCGTGGAGGAAACTCGCCCGAAGCATGCGATTCCTGAGGCGACATTGAATCGGCGCGCTTGCTAGCGGACTGCGACATTGGTCGTGCGTTGGCGATGAGTCCAGCATTGTCTCGTACTGCCGAGTGGTGTCCCGTTGACATTGAATATAGCGAGCCCTTGTCGTCGTTCAAGCGACCAAATCGCACAGAATCGTTGTCAGTCGAAGGCCGCATCATTGTCACAGGTCGGTATGGATCGTGCTCGTCGATCATGCTGCGTGACATGCTGTGTATCGACTCGCGCGAGCCCTGCAGACCGGCGGGCAGAAGGTATGGTGATCCCATGGACATGTTCATATCCATTGACAAGCCGTGATTTCTCCTTGGGTTTCCTGACGCTGGGCCAACCTCCGTGATTGTCATCTCTGGTGCCTTCCTCTTTGAATTCTTCGATACTGTCGGCTCAATGCCGTCCATGCCAAAGTCCAGCGACTTGTGTGGGTCATTCAGATCCTCCTGTCTCTGCTTCTTGAGATGTCTCCTGTGCAAGAAGATCAAGACGACGATGGCACACCCTAGCGGGATGCTTTGGTACAGTCAGTATATACAGTGAGAAGGCTTTGCTGATGACAATACTCACACAACACCGAGAATGATGGCCAGAGTCTGAGTATTTTGGACCGATGCGGGAGTGACACATTTGGGGCTGTCGTCGCCGGCTTTGCACGCGCTCGAGGAAGAGCTCGAGGAACTGTCATTGTCATCGGACGGACTCCTCTGCAGAAGGGTTCGAGTGATCTGGTGCAGGCCAATGGCGGCATTGTCGACCGCGCGCTCGACGTTGTCCAAGGGTAACCTCATGGTCGGATTGTTTCGGCAGTACGCCTGCCTGGCGGAGCCCGTGGCCCAAAGGAGTGAGCTGTGAGTCCAAGACGACGCGCAGACGGGCAGTATTAGGTGGCGGATGGTGGTCTCCTATCGTGACGTCGGTATGGGGTGAAGACAGAGGTGTTCCTGGTTTCGCGGTCGATTCAGATTATGCGGTTTCAGGAGATTAGGTTCGGTGCTGGTGTCGGTAACGAGTGACTGGGCGGGGGTATGTACAATGAATGACTGTGGTTAGTAGGGGCGAAGTGAGGGAACGAGTGTGGTGGTCGGCGACCTCAAAGGAATGTGAACATCGGTGAGGGTGGTGGTCGTCGAGACTGGGCGGCGGATACGAGCACCAGCGGGAGGGCGACTGGAGAGTCAAAGAGGCGATTGTCCTCCTTTCCGCGCCAGGAATGAGAGAAGGCTGCTGGGGGTCCAAGCGCCGAGCCTTTCGCTCTCAGGTCTTCCTCTGCGCTTCCACGCTTCGTCCACTAATGAGACCGCCACAGCCGCAGCCCGTGGCTGATCCCGTCTCTGCCTTCTTGGGGCCGACATGGATTTGACGTGCCCTTAATTGCCATTGCACTCAGACTTGCCCCGACTCAGCCTGTGCTCCGCTGCCGTCGCTTGGCCTCGCGGTCTGCCAGCACCACCCCCCCTCCCCCGTCCTCACCGCCGCGGCAGTCTAGATCATCGCGATCTCATCGACACTCGCTGCAACCTGAGACGACGGGACGGTTTGGATGTGGCTGTTTGAGGTGCCGGACAGTTGCGCCGCTGATGGGATCGGTTGCGGTTTAGTTCAGGTACACCCGCCGCGCGCTGCCCTCCCGACCAATCGTGTCTTTCTCTCCGTGAACTCTATGCAAGACACTGCGCGACGCATTCGCGCTAGAAATAGCCCCCAGCCCGGACGTCGAACTTCACGCCCTCGCAGCGTGTCCATTGGCTGGGTGGGTGATGAAGGCCATGTCACACGCTCGACAGCAACACCTCTGTGCCTCGCTACACCGCCGCATCTCATCCAGAATCGACGCTGCACTCACGATGTCGATGTTTTCTCGCTTGGGTGCGCTTCGAACGATTGGGCGGCGCGGTCGCTGCTAGCCCCGCCGGTTTTCCGCGTGCCATCCCAGCAAGCAATTTCCGGCCATCCTCCACCCAAAAATCCATCGAATCCCACCGGCATCCCACCCACGTTGAGTGTGTCTATCCTATTCCTTATCCAGATGACGACGCGTCCATGTTTGTTGATTTGTGCTCCACTGCTGCCAGCATAAAACCTCTGTGCAATGGTTCGTTCTCCTGTAATCCTTGACTCTGCTTCGCTCCAGGTCCCTGTCTTCGATAAAGCGTGATCGATTTCCTCCTGTGCAGTGTGCACCGCCACGACTCGTACAGGATGGTGATGAAGATGGGCATGTAAGACTGCAAGATCTTGCGATGGAAGCACTCGTCTCTGTAATAATGGATGAAAAGAATCCGAAGATGCGAGGGCACTGGATGTGGTGTTCTCCTTCCCCGATATCGTCTCCATCGATCTGTCCAAGGAATTGCTCCACCCAAGCATCCGAAATAGCTCCTAGACGGGTTCCATGCGCCCACTTCGGTAAAAATAAGATGGTCTAGCTGCGCAGTGCGTGGCGACTGGGAGTGCTCGATGTCGGCCTCAGGCATGACTCAGTGCCAAGCATTGAGTCATATATGAGAAATGGAATTTCTCTTCCACCACATCTGGCTGTAAAGTTGTCAGACAAATTAAAACCCACCGCGGTATTGGTCTAGAGGTATGATTCAATCTTAGGGAGGTGTGTGCCTTACATGATTGAGGTCCTAGGTTCGATTCCTAGATACCGCCCATGTTTTTTTTACTTTTTTGTTAACTTCCCAAGTCACAGTATGGACCTCGCACGCATTTCCTGATCCTTTTCACCTCTCTCTACTTGCACATTCACGACTAATCGAGCTTCCAATTTTGTCCAACTTTCCATCGTTTTTCTTTTTCACGTTTTACAACGTTCGATCTTCTACATCTGGGACCCCGCGCTGCCAACGCCGCAGACCTCCCTCCTTTCCAGCAACGCAGACATGTCCCATCGATCGAACAGTCTTCCAACACCCCAGATATGTTATGCCCCCGAACCCCAACTCAATTAGACCTGTGAACCTCCCCATCACCCACTACAGCCCCGTCCCCCCACCCTGAGCACCTCAACTCCATCTTCCCCAAGCCACGCACTCCCTCAGAGTGTCGAAAGGGCTTGAATCTAGCAGAGACAGCATCCATCCCAAGACCGATTCCGTCCTTGAAAAGAAAGAGCCCGCCTTTTTACACGGCCCAACTTCAACGATGGCTGGCTAGAGATTTTGGGGTTGTACTATGCAGTCAAACGTCAGAAGATATGGGAAGATCAACGACGAAACGCAAAGCCTGGTTGTAGTTGTTTCAAGGTGGATTCTATTCTTTTCTTCTCGCCGGGCGATTGATTAAGCAGGTGATTTATCGATTTCATTGAAGCTTTTCCACTGGGCTACATTCATCTTTCAACTTTATCGAATAGTTCTCTATTCAAAACCCTTCACAATCTCCTGAATGAACCTCCCAAAACGAGACGATTGGTCCGTCTCCCTCAGTCTTCCCCCTTTCTCAACTTCCATGTCACCCTACCCATTCCCTCGTCTAGTGAGTAACACCCCATCTACACAATCTGCACAACTTACTTCGCTCACAGGAAAGTCGGATTTGGGGAACAACCTCGCTGTGCTGGCGGTTCTGGGTAGTGGTTTTTAGGTGGGAGAAGAGGGTGAGACTGCAAGAGAGCAGGTTGAGGACGCAAGAGAGGCAGAGGGATTTGGAGGCGAGGAGTGTTGAGATGGCGACAGTGGGTTGCAATGGGCAGGAGTGGAAGGGTGAGGGTGCGAGGGGGAGGAGCATGCAGAGTCCGCCGCAGGTTTATGTTAATGATTTTGGGAGGGTTTAGGGATGGAGTCTTGATGGTGGATGATTTGAGGTTGGACTTTCTTAGGAATTGATGATCAGATCTCTCCTTCGAGAACGGCGAGGAGTAGCGGCGTTGATAGTAATGCCAACTGTATTCGAACGAAACTGCCGTCTATGTCTACATTTTTCTAGCACTCCCTTGTCTGCTCCCTCCCACCCGCCACATGCAACATGCAACACCTACAGCTTGCTTCCCTCCCTCGCATCCACCCTCCTCCCCCCCACATCCCACTCAATCTTCCTCCCACTCCTCAAACTCTCCTGCAACGCCTCCGCGACCTCCATCCCTTTCACCGCCACATCCAACTCATACGGCAGATCCTTCCCATCCAACACACAATCCGCAAAGACGCCCAGCTCCGTCACGAAAGCCTTTTCGTATCGTTCGTAGAAGTCGGGAGGGACGTCGTTGCCCACGCCGTTCTTGTCGGCGATGGTGATGAGGTCTCTTCGGGGGTGGAGGTTCACTTTCAGTGTTGCTTCGGTGCCGATGATTTCGGTGGGGTTGTCGAAGCCGTGGTGCATGATGCGGGAGATGTAGTAGTAAGATATTGGCGCGGGAGCTCCTGGTGATGGAGGATACCATTCGACTGTGCCGACGGCGTTGTCGACATCATCAATCTCGGCGAGTTCCTTGTGCAGAGCGATGGTGCCTATCGCGTGGCATGACTTGGGCCGGGCGTTGTGTCCGATGAAGCTGAGGGTCAGGTCGATGTCGTGGACGGAGGTGTCGATGAAGATTCCCGGGTTGGCCATGATGTAGCGCATGTAGAACTCGCTGCGGTCGTATTTGTCTCTGTTGTCGCAGCGGACGACGATGGGGGTTCCGATGCGGCCTGATTGAATTGCCTTGCGAGCGTTCTGGTAGGAGTCGTCGAATCTGCGAGAAAAGGCTGTCATCACCTTGAGATGAGAGTATCGTGGTTGCTGGGCCAGAGCTAGGATCTTTCGACTTTGCTCGAGGTTCATGGCCAAAGGCTTCTCGACCAGAACATGCAGGCCTTTCTCGATCCCTGCAACCACCTGCTCGTAATGGACTTTGGTCGTGCTGGCAATGAGAATCGCTTCGAGGCCTGACTGTTGGACCATCTCCTCGAATGACCGGTAGACTTTCACTCCGTATGGGATGAGGTTCTTGTCTGCCCACTCGATATCTTGATCCATGGGCGAGCATGCACACACGAGCTTCGTTCTTGGGACATAGTGCAGTGCATTGAGGGCGTGTTGTCTGCCGATTCTGCCGAGACCGACGACGCCAATGGCGAGCCGTTTGGGTTCAGCTGATAGGTTGGTCATGTCGGAATAGTCGTCCTTGATATCGACCGCAAGATTCAGTTGCTATCTGCCACCGTCAGTACGAAAAACTCCCCTTCTTGTGCCTCCGGAAATCAAATCCCGATAGCTCCTCGACCTTCAAATGCCGCCGGGATTGACTGCGTTTGGCAGTGATTGTTCCCGGGCAGACCAAATGAAGAAGGAAAGGCCGACTTTGAGTTTGGGAGAAGATACTTTCTCTCCTACCAGATTGCCTATTCTTTCAGCATACCGACTCTCTCTCGCCAGAACATGTCGAGGAAGCCGTTCTCAGACTTGCCAGCCTGGATCACCGATGGCCAGCGTAGCTTCTGATCGTGCTGGCGATGGCTTCCTCTTCGGCGTTTTGCAGCCATCCTCACGTGTTGCTTTTGTTCTTCGAGAAACTTCCCGCATCACAGAGGCGCAGTGCCATAGATCAAGAAGACTATAGCATGGTCACACGAGTAGGAAAACGAAGAGAGAAGAGCAAGATCCAAGGAAGATGCCATCACCGTCGCTAAGTCAGCCGGTTAGGGTTCCGGCAGAATCGCTTCCTAAAAATAGATACGAGGACAGAGCGAAAGAATGATGCCCCGAAGTTCAGTAGAGCATTCCACTGCAACACTATTAAGAAACAAGCGGCGCTGCAAATAGAAAGATTAGTACAGTCAAACCTCTCTATAACAGTAGCGTGGTGATATTATATTTCTATCGTTATAACAAGGTATCGTTATATAGAGATATTACGTATAGTAGTCTTAGTATTTAGCCTACTCTAAAATATAATAATATCTCCTACTATTAAAGGCTAACTACGGCTCTTTATTAGACTACTTTCTCGTACTTATTAAGGCTCTATAGCTAGCTACTATTACAATTATTAGATTACTCTTTATAGAGCCGT